TGTTTTTTAAACTATGTGATTTAGTTCTGCTTTACATCTGTGAGTGAATATTACTCAAAAGGTGCTTTTAGGTGTAGCTTCAGCTTCTTCATGTTGGAAGGAGTCAGCTGCAGTAATATGGGCATCTGACCTGGATGTCCACCAAATGGCCATTCTGGAAACGTTCAAGCAGGCTGAGACTCTTTGGAGCAAATCCAAATAATGTTGTTTGACTACAAATCCTTTTTGGCCAGGGAAAATCTCAGGATCTTCACGGGGAAGATGGAGAATGTAGGTATGGACAAGGATGTCTGGAATCATTTTGCTACCACTGTGATGCAGAAAGAGTAAGCCATGGAAAATGGATAGACAGAGCTTCTACCAATCTTATCCAGTCCTCTTTGCATAGCTATAATAATTTTCCATTTGCATGCTGAGCCACTCAAGATGATCTTATGCTCTTCTGTTAACAAGCTTGGCCAACAAGCTTGATCCACACCGGCAAGTTTTGTCTCTCTCATCAACAACAACACCAGCCGTCTGGCAGCGGCAATCTGCCAACAGTGGCGGGATGACTTCCAGCAATATCATGTGATGTGCTCTGATGACAGTGAGGCAGTGTGGTGGCAGCCCAACCACGCACGGCCCCTCTGCCCTTGCAAAAGTCATTTGTACTTGGTGGCCTTGTCTTTGGTTTCCAAAAACATAGCGTAATACCTCTAGGCTTACCTAAAGTACTCTACCTCCCATGGAGAAGGCCAGTAATTGTAGCAGTTGATTGCATACAGCATCACCTTCTTTTAGTACTTGTTCCACTCCAGAATTTTTGTGGGGGAAAACAGGAAACATTGTCAAGCACAGTGAAAGTGTAGTTTTGACTGTGTTCAAATGAATGAACACCTCCATCTCTGGCTTTCTCAGCATCAGTGTAAATGGGAGGACAGTGTGCAAATACATGTGAAACCCTCAGTCTAAACATAAGCTTGCCCACTATCTTTGCAATGGCATATCAAGCTTATATTTGGCAGACAAGGATCTTCCCCTGTTGGTATCAACAGTCTAGGTCAGTGGAACATGAAGAGGGCATATGTGCAGAATTGACTAGACCTTCCTTTATTGGCTTTCTCTACACCCACATTCTGCTTTGCAGGAAGGAAGGGTGGGGAGTGGAAATTTACTCATAACTGTCTGGTGCTATGCTGAGGTCTCTCTCCAGGTCCGTGTTTAGGACTCAGAAGAGACCAGTGGGCGTGAGAGATTTATTGTGCAGGAGGCATACAGAGCTGCTGCTTTAAGATCTGCATGGGTTGGCTTTGCTGTCTCTCACATTCCGTTTAGTAGGTGGATTGGTTCAATGCGCCAGATTTGGCCCAGATGACCTGTTGTATATTGCTTACCATCAGCGTAACACAGCAGTGGCTGCCCATGAATCCAAGTTAATCCTATTGATTCTGTAGAGAGTAACATCTAAGGATAGAGTTAGACTGGTGACAAAAGCCAAACCAACATAAGGTGTCTCAGTGTGGTGTTGGGCCATCACATGCCACAGGAATAGCTTCACTACACATTGACTCCACAAAGCTCTGGACTCTACTGAAGGGATGGACAACATTCTCCCAAAAGATATTCCCTCATTTGGTCTATTTACGACATGAGGTGAATCCCAATTCCCCTAATTGCATCCACGTTTCCCTCACTTGTGCCTTCCACTTAAGATGTGAGGAAAAGATGCAAGAAGAAACTGTAACTGTGAGGAGACAGGAATCTAGGAAACATTTTAACTCACATGAGATGTCTTTTCCGCCGATGGTAAAGCGTCCAATCACAAACCGATTTCAGATAAAGGTGCGTTTCAATCCATAACAAACTTCCTCAAAGAATGCACTTGTGTAGCCTCAGTTATAGCTCCTTGGGCGACCTCTTTGCTCCTCGCTCATCAGAGCAGAAATAAGAGCTTTGGGACACCCTTCATCATGACAGACCGGAACAATGTCCAGGTTGAGTGAATTGAGGAGCGAGGTGTGATAAAATAATGGACATGGGATTCGCCTTGTCTAACATGTGGGTCCAAATTCTCCCATAGGTGTTCAATTACATTGCAATCTGGTAACTGTGATGACCACAGCATATGATTCACATCATTTTCATACTCATCAAAACATTCAGTGGCCACTCGTGCCCTATGGATGGAGCCACTGTCATCATGGAAGAGATGTTTTTCCATTCCATCTCACAGAGACGCTAGTAGGGCTGTAGACGCTTACTCTCATTATCAAATTCCTATTTACTAGCAGCTGTTACAAAAATCACACCATTGTTTTGTATAAATACATGTAATGATTTTCTTTTATTCTAACCTTCAGCAACTGTGAGACTCTTTGCTGTTGACTAAGCCTATATAGTTTAGTCAGCAGAAGGTATTACATGCATTGTTTTCACAGTTTTCTCTCTGTTTAGTAGGAGATATCACATTCTTTAACATTACTATGCTTTTCATGGACTTTCCCTTCAATCACTTTTTCAGTGGTGACAAACCACTGAATATGTATGAATAGCTGCGCTGAAATGAATGACTCACTGATAATAGACTGTAGGTTAGAGTCGGTCCCTTCACTGAGTGTGTGCAATGTTGATGTCAAAGCACACAAAAGGATGAAAATAAAACACATGGCAAAACCAAACACACGAACAAACAAACACACACAGATGCTGTCATATTCATACAAAGACAGATTCTGCAGCCTGCTTGGTATTGCTGGTACAAACCTCTCAAGATACTAATGAGTAAAATGTTAGCTCATGTTGGGTGGATGGACTGTCACACTAGGAAAATTCTGCTAGAGAGGTTTCACACAGAGACATTGTTTTATGATTCACACATATCAAAGCAATACACACACACACACAGAGAAATAAACACAGATTTAGGAAACCCTTCACATCGTTGGAAGTTGCGTACTGCTGCCGTGCGTCTCTGTGTGTCTGCTGCTCTGTATTCAGTGGCTGCCTATGGTTCGGATATAACTCATTTCTGAAAGCAAAAGCCTGACACCCCACCGCGTCTCCTATTGGCTTACTTTTGTTTTGTCTTCCTGCTGCTCTAGTATTGCTTTCCCTGCTCGCTCACTTGAGAACAATCTGCCTGAATATACTGCAGTGGTATCGCCATTTTCCCCAGGAAGGTGACCTCCACCCCAGGTGTGGTGAATCTGTCAGCTTCTCTGCCACCTCCACTCTTGCTGCTAATGACAGCAGTACTTTGTTGTCAGTGGTCATGCTTCTTGACCAAAGGAATATTTCATGCTTAAGCATGTTAATAAGAGCTGGTTATTTGCCATGTATTATTTGTGTGCACATATATGACATCATATATAATTTAGACAAAACTTCATTTCTTCCAATTATCTTGTTCACATCAAGAAAATAATGCAGTACTAGAGGAGAAAAGCTTTCTGCATACAATTTGTTCTTCTGGTTAATACTATTAAAGGCACAAAATAAAGAATCTGTACTATCTTAAAATATCATTTTATGTCTTCGCAAGTGAAAATACAGTGGAAAGTAGAAAAAGGTAATGAACGTGTACTTTTAATACAACTTGGAAATTACTGTGTATCAAAAAGAGACAAGATAAATAGTCAAAATATATCCCTTTATACAGTAGATAAAACATTATGGAGTCATGACAAAGCTCGGAGATAAAAGCTTCCCAAGGTTATGAAAAACAATTTCTTTACATCAACTGAATAAAAGTTTTTTTTCACCCACGCTGAAAGGCCACTGTACATTTTTAACACCAGCCTTACACATCAACACATCTTAAAGATGAAGACTCACTGGTAGTCGCAGCAGCAAAGGCATCCTTTTCTGCCTGCATCCTTAAATTAAACACAGAGAACGATATTCTGAATGTAAGCTTGAATAGGATGGGAGGTAATTCTCAGCATATCACTTCTCTAACATTTGGATCATGAAAAAGCATACACCAACTGTGCAAAATCAGGGTGAGGAACACGCACTGAGGGAGCACCATCTGTGGTAAGATGACACTCTGGTTCACTATATTTTGGGAAAACAGACTTCTCTTGGGTTGTTTACTCAGCTCACAAAGACACCACAGCACATATATGCATACTGTATGTTTATTTATGCTTTTCAGCAGCAGTGGAAAATGAGCTCCAAGAAATACAAGTAGATATTTTCATATTATAGACACAGATTTGTTTTGCACTACAATTATATATTGTACATCCTGAGACACTAGGTCACCATTAACATTATAGCTTCAGGATGACAATACTGAAGAATAACTTCAGCCCCCTTGTGGATAACCAGTAATGTGCTGACTAAGGTGCAGAGCATCAATGGAAATACTCATACCTCGGAACCTAGCGATCTATAATGACCCTTGGTTATCATACATCTGATGTAAAGAGGGTTGCAGGGCCATGCAATGTAAAATGGTCCAGTTCGTTAATATCACTGGAGCTATAAAGCTGTCCCTGCCACTCCATGTTCTTCCCATATAAAGCTGATTTGTGATGTCTCCCATCCACCAACCCTCAGTCTCCCTAATGATGGCAGGATCCATCACACTCATTTAATCAGAGGTGAAAGGAAAGCAAAGAAGATGGACGAGGCCATTGTGCACCTCAATAGGTATTTTATGAAGTCACTCTTGCACCACATCTTGCATTGCCAAAAATAATCAGTAATTTAGTGCAACTGAAGTTGTTATTCCTGTTTTAATCACCTGCTTGAACTGCTGACCCTAATGAGAGCACAAACAACTTACAATCCCAAACTGATGGTTCCATTAAAATGGCCATTTATCCCAGTGAAGTGGAGGCCATGGAAAAGAAAAGACAAAAACAGGACACAGAAGATGTGAATGATAAACCACCAAATCCTCCAAACTCAGCAAGCAAGCTAGGTTGTTGACCACTGCCTTCCAAAATGACTATCACAAAAAAAAAAAAAAAAAAAAAAAAATGAATGCAACAATTTTATATATGTGCTGGCTGTATTTATATTTATATTTAAGTGCACCTTGACTGTTTGACTGACTTTAGCGCTGGTCTAAAAAATATGAGCCTGTTGTGTTTTGTTTGTGTTCAGTTTTGCAACATTTAACTTGTACAAGCTTAATTAAAACTGTATTGAACCTTTTAGTCCACATGAACAGCTTCAACACTGGTCTTTTTACTACTACTTCTCTCGTTCATATGACACACAAGCATTCTCTCAAAGTTCTTATTGAAAGGAACTTAGGGTTAAAAAAACCAATGGTAAAATACAAATAAAAAATAATTCCTTTCCTTTTATGGCTCCAAATTATTTGTAGTTACAGTAGTTAACTACACAAAAAAGTAATTTAATTACTTTAGTCACTACACACTTATGAAGGCAGATTAAACTACCAGCAGGTTACTGCAAAATGTTGTTAAACTACTAGTTTAATTACATGTAGTTTACTCCCCAACACTGAGAGTTACACAGCAGGTGTACAGTACATGTCTCCTGAGAGCCAGAGGGCCGTGGCAGTGGACTTGCATCCCCAGAGGACTTGGGAGTTCACTGTGCAGTCAGCTGTGCAGGATGAGGAAGTTAGTGGACAGAGTCGGAGGGATGTAAAGAAGTATGGAAATAAGCCTGTAATTCTCCATCTGTGGGAAAGTTTGTTCATGCCTGGAAAGGACTATTTTGTCATGGGACCTGTCCTTACAGTTAGACACTGTGGTGAGATGGAAATGGATAGACAAATGGAAATAAAGAGAAGAGTGACCCCCCAAAAAACTACTTATGAAACATATAGTTAAAATACATCCAACAATAAAGGGAACATAGCACAAGCATTTGTTTCTTTCAGTGCTTTTACAATAATAAATGAAAGTTTTTGTTGTTTCTTTCATCTCTCTGCTATCAGTCATGACCATTTCAGAGGCTTTGCTGCACTTGGCCTTTACCTGTTCATGAGTGGAGCCAGTTCCACACCATCAAAGATGACGGCTGGGCTGTTTATGGATATTATGGATGCAATTCAGCAGAAAGTTGACAGTCATTTTTTCGCCTGAAGCTGTTGAACCATATTCATCTGTGCAAAGCAAGCCTTTAGACCATCTGTAGGGGTGGGTGCCTATACTTTGGGGTTGGTGGTTTTTGATATATTGGGAAAACAAATGGGCGGGCCAGGGTGGGGGTAGACAGCCATAAAGGGCAGAGGGGGTATAAGAGTGTTAGCATTGTGCAAGCAGCCAAACAAATAGCTGACTCTCTATTCCTGCAGGCAAAATGAGGTTACTTTTTGGTAAAGCTGCCCAATAAACTCTGCAGTGAGGTTAGGGTCATAGCAAGACAGGACTACGCTTATCACTTTATGTATGTGTAACTGTATGTGTGTAAGCCTGATGTAAGGACAAGAAGGAGGAAAACCAAGAGGAAGGGAAGAGCACAATATAAAAGGGAGAAAAAAGAGGAGATACACAGAGTCAGACACCTACCTTCATGGTTTAGAGTTAGCCACTTGAGACAGCCCATACCACCGTATTAGATTTTCTGCCTTATTGCCTCAGCCAGACTCTCTTGCCTCAGGTCACTTTCCTGTATAAGGGGATGCACATTACTCCAATTTCTCAAAACCTCCCATATATGCTGATTTAAGTCCGAGGCTTTAATATCAGCTGGCTAACCTCTTACGGTCCACCCTAGGTTAATTCAATTCAAACAACAGTAACAGTGAACTTGTCAATATTGAAAATATTAGCTTCAGCAACACCTGCGTATATCCCATTTCAACATGGGCAGGCCCTGAGAGACCAGGAGGATTCAGCTTAATAGGGAGCTGCATCAGCAGCTCATTTAGTTAATAAATGATGAGGAGTGTGCTGCTAGAGAAGCTTCCTTCACCCCATACTATTTGGTCATGATGTGTAAGTGATGAAGGAGGGAAGCTGTGGTCTCCAAATGAGATTGATGAGAGCTCAGGGGGGGAAAGGAGCAAGCAGTAAAAATCAATATGAACACAGAGAAGGAGGAACATTTTCTTTCAAAAATCACCATCTCTATTTTTCCCTTGTTACTTCTGCCTAATTCTTAGTGACATATGATTCATCTGCACACACCCGCCTCCAAATATAAACATGACATATCCAAACAATGCAGCGCAAACACTGCCCTGTATGCCCTTACTAGTAGATAAATGTTGTAGATAAAAATGACAAACTGGGCTCTGGGCATGAAAAATATACAGTATCTCAAGGTGATGTATCCAAATCTTTCTAGAAAACATCGCTTCACAAAAAAAAAAAAGAAAAGAAACATAGACAGATAAAACACAGTCATTATATACTCAGATATCTAATGTAGAGAAACTTTAACAGCGCAGTCAAAGTCATTCAGCAAACATAGTTCAGGATATGAGATGGAAAACCTCCTGACATTCAACAGTATGCTACAGATGAGAGAGGAGCCTGGAGGTGATCGCTGATGCCTGGAAACAAATGAGGAATTTATGAAGATTTACTACATGACTCATTCATCTTCTATTTCTGTGACATGGCTCAGCATGTGCTGGTGTTTTAGAGTCTTTGCAATCTCTCTCATGCAAATTTATACAATAAGTTGTACAGACCTTTTTGTTTGTATCACATGTGAGGTGATCCATGAATTAAGATTCACAGAAGCCTCAGTCATTCCATTGCAACCTCTTAGATTTGCTGCAGTATACTAGTCTCAACAGAGGAAGCACCCGTTTAAAGTCCATATGGTGAATATGTACAGGAAATGAGATAAAAATAGAATAAAAATGGAGTACTTAAAAATATAGACTTGTAATAATCTGTATAATCTGTACAATGTATATTTACCGGTATTGCACCACCTCAAGCTAGTGTAACACCAGCATAGACAGTAGAGAACTGACTGAACTCTGCTGGATATGATATGCAGAGAAGCTGAAGGGACAAAAGAAGAGCGAATGAGTGAAAGACGTTTGTGGCAAATTAATAGCTCTTTCAAAGCAGAGAGAAGAAATGAGGTGGTTGCCAGAAACTGTGGAGTCATTCCTGGGTCATGCAAAGAAATGAAAAACAAGACACGACTGCTGCTGAAGTTGTATGAGCTTTTTTTATTATCAGCCCAGAAACCAGTAACAAGCTTTTCGTCCAGAAATGGAACAGCAGCAAGTCTGAACTCATGGATGAAGTTTCCAGAAGAATGGCAGCTTTAATGACTTGAGAACCCTGTTTTAATGGATAAAGGCTAAATTATGTAATTTAATTCTCTCTGCTACATTTAAAGTCATGGCCTTAATCTTAGAGCAGTCCAGAGAGCTGTCCAAGCTCTGTGAATACCCCATCAGTCTTACGGTTGTTCTGATGTAAGAAAGTGCAATAAAATTACTCAGCAATCATATCTTTTTACATCTAGGGGTCGTTTAATTGACCCTTGTCTCACACACTGCAATGTTGTGCTATCACAGTATTTATAAAAAGAATATAATGTGAAGAGCAGGACATGACACTTACAGCCACATTTTACTGTATTTTTCTTAAAGTTTCTTTCACAATAGGCTGTTTATTGCATGACACGGTTTTATTCCACAGAGCTCAGTGTTACTCTAATGAGGGTACCACACCGTGCGTTGCATTACAACCTATAGCAACCTCCATCTTATATAACACAGGTTTGGGGTTTACTTGTTAAGATTTAATTACATTGTTAATTATTCATTGACCAAACAGTTGATGGTAGTCAGTGTTATTACTGTTTTAAAAACCCTATTAATGAATCAAAGGCAAACTAGAACATTTATCATGATATTACAAGTTTGTTCAGCAGTGAATTTATAGATATTTTTCATGAACAATGTACTCTATTAATGTCCATATAAGCAAATACTGTAACAATGGGACCTGTTCTCATATAAAATATAGTTATAACTACACTGTGAGAATCATGTATTAAATCATTGTGTGCTCACTTTCAGCAATGTATGTTGAATATGTGGAAGATATGAAATATGGAAATGATGCAGCTATAAACCCTAAATCCAGTCTCTCTTGAAGTTCACGAGCTATGTGAATATTGGTGAACCAATATTGCCAGGTAACCAGTTAAAATTGAAGTGCAGATCCAAAGGACAGTAAACAGATCTTCAACTCATAGAAACATGTGAGAGTATCTCTTGTCCCTGAGCCAAAGAGGAAAACAACCTGTACGCAGGCCTAATCATCAAAATGCTCATGTGTAGTGGTTAAAATTTCTCTGAACTCTACAGGGTCAATAGCAACAACAGACCCAGCACAGCTCTGCAATTCCTGGACACCAACAGCTGTGTCAGGCTAGAAGAGCATTTTCCTCAATAAAATGTTCAAAGAATGCTTAAAGATGATGCATAAACGATTTGTTGTAGCCTCCAGAAATCGTTCATGTTCTAAAACCTCTACAGGGATTTAATTTCTAAGATGTCTTTTTGCATTTAGGTTTTTGTCATTTATGAGATTAAAAGTGCATAAAAGAAATATATCTTAGTGTCACCAGCCTCTTGTTTGGATTCTGCTGACTCTTGCTATATGCAACACTTACAGCACATAGAATATGTCCATGTGAAGGCCTCAGTCCTGGCCTTCACCATGTGAGGACCTAAACCACCACCAGCCATGGACTTGGGTGGGTAATTCATATTAGACATACACAATTGATCAATGAGCATGCACGTTTGATTAATTTTGTATTGTTAATGTTTACCTTTTCTTTTGAGTTACCATGTTTCCTGGTCCATGGATGGGGGGGGCGGTTCACTAAAAGATTGGACTGAGGAAGCAGCAGGTTTAAATACCTCCCACTAGGCCTGGACTGCACCAAGTGCCCAATACAAGAAAGGGGGGAGTTTGGGAGAAATTGATTGTTTATTTGTTGGTAGTTTATGTTAGAACTTTATTTGTCAAGTTATGTTAATTTCTTGTGTGTGTCATTTGCTAGGTCAGTTGGTTTTGTTGAGACAGTTCAGTTTGCTGTATTTTGAGTTTCCTTATCTTTTGTTGACCTCTTTTAGGGCCCAGTTTATCTGATGTTAATTTTGTATTTTTCTTGCTTTTGGGTTAATAAAAACCCTTTATTTTGAACTTTGGAAGCTGTGTCTTTTGCCTTACTGCTTGGTCCCTGACAGTCCACTATGAGTTAAAATGAAAGGGCCAATAAACGCCCCTGGGCCTGAGACGCCCGAGGGAAAAGTCGGATCTCTTTTCAGCATACAGTAAATTAGCTAGTTAAAAATGTTAATTATTGGCTGAATGAGGGATCACTTGGGAATTAGACACAGCATGTTATCAAATTTATTGTAGGTGAAACTCTTGGATAGTTAAGGGGGGGGGGGCGCTTTATCTGGATTGCAAAATAACTGGCCGAAAACCTGATTTATAGGGTAATGATATTCCCTTTAGATTAGACCACATTTTTCAATGGGTTCTCATGAAGTTTAAATGTATTAATTTGGTACGTTTTGTCTTCTCTTTATGATTGTGAAAATAATGCACTGCTCTGCATTGACAGGTAGGCGGAGATATGCTGACAACAGAAGGTAGACACAGTAAAAGCAACAGATTTACACTTGATGCTTTCCAGTAGGTCTATAGTCTTTGTCAAGCATACAGCTTCATTTCCAACAGAAAAATGTTGATTTGACTTCAGAGTATTGAGGCCAAAACTGTTAGTTACAATTTCCTTTTAACGTTTTTCTTTTTAAATATATCCTTTCTGAAAAACGTCCCACTGTTGCATACATGTATTACATCCAGGTGGTACCTACAGTACAGTGACGTGCGGTGACGTTGACAGCTGGTGAGGCACTAACTCTTTTACAGTCAGATTTACAAATACAAATTGTCTGTTAACAGACAACGCGTTATGTTTTATATCTCATATCAGCATTCGTCACACAAACGTGACCCATATTTAATTTGAGGTTAAAATTTATTCCAATTGAGCTTATTTCTAACTAGAAATAATAAAAGTTTATGGTCTTACCTTTACTTGTACACGAAATCCATTTGTCAGCTGGTATGTATTACAAACCCTTTTACCGTTCGAATCCAATATTAAAACAAATGTTTTCAATAAAGAAGATCCTTCTGGACAAAAATGTCCAGACTGTCAAAAATGTTTGCGTACTGTTTGCCTCACCGAGTAACTTTTTTACTGGGTTTTATGGTTAATCTGGAGCCTAAACACGTTACACAACTACATTTTATACATTATCCAGATTATGGCAAGGCAGAGCATATAATCAGAGTGTTTGAAAGCATTTTATTTGTGATATATAGAGGGACAGCGACACACTATTTGCATCGCATACAGTTTGTGAGGATTACACGATCCACCGAGAGGCACAGCAAAGTGCTGCCTCATCGCGCATCTCCTCCATGTATTTGAACGGGACATATGGAAAGTCTGCTATTCTTTACTGAAAAAAAAAATCCTTCAACATCGGATTCGAACGGCAAAAGGGCCTACAACACACACCAGCCGACAAATATTAACATTTATTATATTTTATGGTTAACTTTTTTTTTCTTTTCAAGATTGACAGGGGAGGCTCTGCCTCACCTGCCTCCCCTGACCGCACGTCACTGCTACAGTATAATGTAAATAGCATCATTTCTCTTTTGATTCCAACTCACTCCTCAGTACAAAGGCTACACCTTGATGCAGTAGGATCTACAGTACTGTACCACTGGCTTAGATGAAACCACACTGCCCATATGCACATAAAATATTCACCTTTTGGAATTCTTTTGTTCCTCAGATATGTCCAAACACTCAGTTATCAGTTAACCATGTTACACACTCACCAGCCACTCCATTAGGTACACCTGTACACCTGTTTGCGCTTCAGTGTAACCCTTTCACCTGTTTATGAAACTCAAAATGTTTCAGTTTTTGGTGAAATTATCATAAATATATCAGTCCATAGTTAAAGGTGGTGTTGTACTGGACTACATTATATTCACAGATGTTCCTAATATTCTGACCCTCTCCATGTATGTAGCTGGGGAAGACAAAAATCTAGAAACACCTCTATGTGAGTGAGTGTGTGTGTATAGTCAGATGGAACCCAAAACGTCAGGCCAAGACTGCCATGGTGTATTCATAAGAGAAGGTCACTCTTCATGGCAAGTGATAAGATAGGACCAAACTTGGACGGCACAAAGAGGCACGTACATCTCTGCTGAGGAATTTGAATGTTTTCCAACTCAGAGTGCCTTTTGCCTTTCTGAACAACTCCTACAAACCTTCTAGTACATCGGAAACAGACAATACCCTGGGCTCGTAATAAAGAATTTAAACAATGAATCTTGATACCGACCGAAAATTTTGCCGTGATGTGTATGAGGGTTTTTGTCAATACGTCAATGGTTTCATGACATCATTGATGAAAAAAAAAGCCAGTGACATGCAGCATACATGACTAACTGTTCATTTACACACTTTGAATTCATGTTCCACTTATTAATGTTTGCTATGTTTAATTACCAGCTCATTAGTAGAGTGAAGCTAATTTCCTTCATCTGAATAGGATTAAAGCAACAAAATGACAAGGTCACAGCATTTTGCTGCATATTGGAGGCTTACTATTCACAAAAGCAATGACATATTTTATACTTATGCAACCGTCTCTTTGTTTGCACATACACATAGCACTGACAGCACAAAGCGCAGCCATAACTCCGAGTCTATAATTACCTTGGGCAAGCAGGCAGTTTGTGGTTCCATTTGTCTGTTTGCAGGTTATTTCAAAAAGAACTTCACAGATTTGAACAGAATTTTGTGGAATAAAATTGAAATACAATATAATAATAGGTTTATAATTTTAAAAACTGCTGGAGAACTACAGTACTCAGTTATTATTTTACTTTGTATTATGCACCAATGGAAAGAGGGCAGGTGTAACACTAATACAGTCTCTTGACAAAATGCTGCAGTCAGATGCTCCATACATCATTTGCTCTTTACCAAGTCTCATAGAATATAACAGGCAATTCTGCAGATTTTGAAATGGAAATGCCAGTAGCCCCTCGCTCGTCTCTGGTGAAACCTACTTTTGCCAGAGCTTATTTATGCTACATACATTTGCATGATTGTATATGATTCTGGGTATTCTGATACAGGCCAGATGCAGATAATCTAAACATTTGATGGTATTAAGAGCAGATTTGAAGTATTTAAAGTCTTTTTTCACTCTTCTTTGCTGGTTGTTTAATAAAGAATAGTTATTTAATTCCACTCTAAATGAATATAAGCCATTAAAAAAAATCCCCTTGTCATTGTCCTGCAGCTCAGGCATCCTTTTTTCATGTGCTCAAAGTTCTTTTAGGGGATCCTGAGGCATTCCCAGACCAGTTAGAATATATATCTTAGTCACTCCTGAGTCTTTTAAGCTTCCTCAGATGTACCCGGAATACCTCTACAGGGAGGCTTCAGGTAGAGATCCTAATCAGATACAGCCACGACTTCTGCTCAGGCAGGGTTGGTTCAACATAAAAGGAGCAACTGTCGCAAGACTAGGTTAGTAACTTAGATAAGGCATCAGAGAATGAGCTCCCTATCCTCTCCCTGAAAAGGAAACTAATTTCAGTTATTTGTATCTGCAGTTTCATCCTTTGGGTCACAACCCAAAAGTTAGAATTGGACCGTAGATTGGCTGGCAAATCCCAAAATTCACCTTTAAGTGAAGCCAGTTAAGCAAATGGAACTAAAGATAAAGTAAAAGACAAAGTTAGTGAATCAGTTAAAAGCTCACTGTAAAAACAAATAGAGAAGAAAACTGTGCATGAGACCATAAGAGTGAGACAAAGGAGGTGGCCATGTCACGTTAATGTCTAAAAACTGTGACACAGTTAAATGTTAGTCGTGTCTGCAGTGCCAAATCTCAAATTCATTGCTGGGTATGAGAGTGAACTTAAAAATCACTGAGCTTGAGACCAGCCATGCTGTGCAGAGACATTTCACTTACCAAAGAGTGAATTAATTGAAGTGTTCAGAGGGTTGCCAAAATCTCACACTGAAAAAACTTGGAGTCACACTCACAAAAAGAACTTCAAGAAAAATAAAAATGAACTTCCAAATCTGTCATTAGCCGTAGCAAATGCCAGTGTTAGGTATTTTTAGTCAGATAGAAATTGGATAGATACTTTATGTATTAGAAATGTTTAGTGGAGATAGGATGTCTAGTTAGACTGTTAAATGCTTAGTCATGCTTATGAGTTTCTACAGGGTACATCTGGTCAAGGATAACTAGAGAGAAGAGTTGATGACTGTCAGCAGACAGGATGTTTAATATTATTATTATGACGTGTAGAACTGTAGCCTTAGTTCTGTGTAGTATGGGGCTAGCCCAACCGAGGGGATATAATGTATAGGCCTGGTGGGTTCAGGGTCTTTCATCTTACATCTGCCTGCGAGCAGTTTGGAGGTGCAAGATACCTGAGCGTGTAATGTTAATTTTACCTGTGATCCTTTGAATAAATCAGCACTGTTTTGAAGTTACTTGGACTGTCTCGTCTCTCAGAGTTAGCAATGGTAACAAGAACCATAGTCCTACACCAGCAAAAAGAACACTTTTTATTTTGGTAGAGAAACATTTTTGAGTCAAGTATAATCAGATGGCTTACTCGGTTGTAACAGTGTGCTAGGTGACTCTTCAGTTACAAAATAAAAAGCACATAAGCAGTTGTGTAAATAAACAAAGGAAAAGTATTTTCCCTGAGACTTATCTAGTTTTGGTTGTAAC